GATGATTGCTAATTACTGTACAACCCTGGCAAGTTACTACACCTCTCTGTGCTGCCGCTTCCTTATCTGTAAAGAGGAAATCATACCAGAACCTCTCTCGTAAGGTTGTGTCTGAATTAAATGAGTTACAGGTAAGGTGAGTGCCTAATAGTAAGCATTCTGTAAGCTTTAGCTAGTAGGATGCCAGGAGGCATCATTAGGGTCATAAAACCGTATAAGAATCTGAAAAGAGGACCTTAGGAGACCACTGCTAATTCAGGGCAGAGTCCTAGCACTAATCCCCACAGTAAAAAAAATGAGACATTCTAGTGGAAGAGGAGCCTGAGGAAGAAACAGGAGTCCTGGGTTTAAGCTCTGCTTCTCACGAGCCAAAGCCATCAGTATCTCCTGCCTCGGCTCCCACAGTCTGACTCCTCCCCTTGCCCTCCTGCCTCTCCCTCCTTCTCTTGTGCCCTTGGAGACTCTCCTCTCCAAAGGGCAGCCAGAATGATCCTTGAAAAGCATAAATCAGTTTGAATGGGTGTAGAGTTTCAGTTTTTCAGGATGAAGAGTTTTGGAGATTAGTTATACAAGAGCTTGAAGCTATTTACTACTGAAATGCACACTGAAAAATGGCTAAGATGGTCAATTTTATGTTATATGGATTTTGCCACTATTAAATTTTTTTAATTTTTAATGAAAAATAAAAAGCATAAATCATATTGTCTCCCCTGCTTCAAACCTAAAAAAAAAATAAAATCTGAATTCCTTTTCATGTTCTAGAAAACTCTACATGATCTGGTCTTCCCAAACTCTCCAAATCTGTCTTCCCCCTTCTTTGTACCTGCTTAAAATCTGATGGAATAAAACTCAAATTCCTTATCATGGTTCAGTATGCTCTAGACACTCTGGTCCCACCTATGTCTCCAGCTTCACATCATTTCTCCCCACTTTTCCTGCCCATGCTTCTGCCCCACCCCCGACCCCACCACCTGAGGGCCTTCACATTTGCCTTTTTTACCCTCTCCCTGCAGCCCTCATATCAGACCTTCACAACACTGGTTCTTTCTTGTCATTCAGGTTTCAGCTCTGAAGATCACTCTTCCATGCCAGCCTTGGAGTGGCCCCTCTCCTGCCTCTCTCTCCAGAAACTCTCTGAACATAGACGGGCATATTCTAAGGTCCAGAACAGATGTGGTGTAGCTTCAATTTAGGACTGTCTTAGATGGAAACACCTTTGGTTTGGGACCTTCTGGTTCATTCTTGTCCAGGTCTTTCCCTCTTGCCTGACTCTCCAGAATGTCTTAGTGGTTCCACTAGTTGTACACTGCTTTCCTCTCCAGTCTGTACCTCCTGGCTAACTCCTCGCACTTCTGTGCACAAAGCAAGTTTTTCAAGCGCTCTGCTTTGACTCAAATGTCAACGACGTCCTTCTCGAAGCCTTCTCTGGTCAGCCAAGACCACCCAGAGCTCTCCTTCCTCTGCATGGCTTTGCCAGTTCCACTCTGGCATCCCACTTGCTGCCTGTACTGCAGTGATCCTGATTTCCCCTGTAGGACAGCAGGTGTCCTGAGGAGGATGGGAACTCTAATCACCTTCCTCTTTGAACTCCCTACCTAACCCCAATACCTTTCACAAAGCGGAAGCTCAGGAAACATTGACTGAATAAACAGTAAATGATCTCCAATTACCCTGACCTCCAGAGTATCGAGCTCCTGATTCCCAAGTGGGTGACATTCCCTTTAGGACTCAGCCCTTCCTTCTGTAGATCCACAATGCTGGGGTAATCAGTCCTGTGGACAAAAAGGGTCCTGATGAATCAAGACCTGGCCTGCCATGCTTTCTGAGCATATGACAGTAGCTGCAACTTTTTCAAAGGCTATCAGAGTTCATTCTAGTGGTTCTCAAAGTGAGGGTCCCAGACCAGCAGCATTAACATCAACTGAGTACTTGGTAGAAATGTAGAATCAGATCTACTCAGATCTAATGATTAGAAACCCTAGGAGCGGGGTCCAGCTATCTGTGTATTAACAAGCCCTCTAAGAGATTGTGACACACCGTCAAGTTTGAAAACCACCAATCTTGGCAATGTTTTTGGTCTCTGAAGCTGTTCTAGCTCCAGAGAGTGGCCCCTTTACCTATTTCATACAAGTTTGTTCCACCTGCAATTACCCCTTTCTCCAAATTGATAACGATCTCAAACTGTTTCAGGGCATCCTTGCAGGGGTTTGTTTTTAACGTTACATCCAAACTGTCAGCCTTCTTTCTCCTTCCTCATACAAAGCTCCAACAAGATCGCGTTACGTTACACAGCAGCCTCACTGCATTATGGACAATCTGATCCTCTGAACGTTTAAAGGATGCTCAGAGGAAAGGCTGTGGGACCCAGGAAACAAAGAGGTGGGGTTATTGAGAGAGAATCATGGCAAGCAGTGGCCTCAGCAGGAAGGCAAAGAACAATATGATAGGCAAAGTCTGTGGGAAGGACTCAAAGAGAGTTCTTTCTCAGTCACTCTCATGCCCGGTAGGCTTGCAATTACACCACAAGCACCGATAAAAATAGTAAAGGACTGTGGTTTTCAAAGTGTGACCCAGACCAGCAGTATCAACATCACTTAGGAATTTGTTAGAAACACAACTTCTCAGGACCATCCCAGACCTACTGAATCAGAAACTCTGAGGATGGGGCTCTTGCAGCCACGTAGGTGGCTTTGATCACACTTAACTTAGAGAACCTCTGGTCCAGTGGACAGAAATACGGACTGTTGAGTAAGACCATCAGTTTCAAATCCTTTGAAATGCTGAAATCAGAAAGTCTGCATAAACTGCTATGCCAGCCCTAAGCTATAGTAAGCATTCAAGACAAATCTCATTCTCTCGTCCTCTTCCTCCTTCCTCCTTCTTCTTCCTCCTCTTCTCCTTCATTTTCATTGTCATCTCCATCAGCTGCAGCAGCAGCAGTAGAAGCAGCATAATCTGCAATAGCTACTGAAATGACATCCCTAGATCCAAGGTTCCCCAGTTGGCCATCCTGTGACTCACGCCATCTTCTCTGGCAGGAGAGGGGAGAGAATGGATGGGCAGCTCTAACTCCAGCACAGCTGCAAGGGCATCTGTGCTCAGAGCACTCAGCCCGGGTGCTGGGAAGCTTTTCAGGCAGGAGAAACCTGGCCACCAAGTGCAGATTCTGCCTCTGCTCACATCCTGCTTCCATTCCCAACAGTAATTGGAGGCCAGGAGCTCATTGTAAATTTGCTTAATTGAGCAGTTGAGGTCTTTATTGTCCTGCTGAGGAACTGCTTATAAAAGCCTGCTTCTGGGCTCACAGCCCCTTTCATGCCTGTGCTTCACTTGGTATTTTCTCCACTCTCTTCTTGTCATTGACCTGTACCTCTGGGATCACCATCTTTTCCCTGTATTGCTCTTTTAATTGTTTTTTTTTTTTTGGTTTGTTTGTTTGTTTGTTTTTTTAACACAGATCAGAAAAACAGTCAATAATGCAGAGGGCGGGGGCAGAGGAGCTGGCTAAAGCACACGAGCCAGAGCTGGGGGATTCTAGGCATCAGCAATACGCGGGGAGTTTCACGAAGGCTGGGAGAGATTCGAGATCTGGGGGACACAGGCTCACAAAGTATGGTGAAGCTTGGAAAAATTCAAAGCACTTCCTCATCCAGAGGAATAGAATGGAAAATGTAGCTATTTCATGACCGAGAAGCTCTGAAAGCTGTAATGATGGAGAGAAACCCAGAGGCGATAGCAGACAGAAAATTAGATATTGGTTTGCAGTGCAGTATTATGTTATTGTTTAGAGGAGGGGAAAAAAGCTTTTCTAAAAAAATGGTTAGAGTCTACAGATGCCGTGGTTGGAAAACGGCACTCTCGTTGACCGCTTCATTACCTCAGATGTACTCAGGTACAGAGAAATTGGAGGGTGTCCAGAGAGGAGCAACGAGACCAATGAAAGGAGTGCAGAGACTGACTAATACGAAGACAGCAAGGAACATGATGTGTGTGAAACACGGCTGCCTTGGCCCCAGGAGAGGTTTGGTGAGCAGATGATGGGTATTTGGGAGATACTCACATCGTCCATGGAGAACGTATAGGTAGCCTCGCATGATGGTGTTTAAATTAGCCCTAATCAAGTGAAATTAAGGAATTTATTATTTGGTTGAAATCCAGGAAACCCTAGACACTTATTCCACTGGGGTGCAGGTAAGTGACAGCCCTTATAGGTGCCACTCCCTTTGCCTGGGATGCTCTTCCTCTTAAACTTGGCATGACAGACTCCTTCAATAATTCAGGTCTCAGCTTAGGTGTCACCTGCTCAGAGAAGACTTGACCCCTCTAAGAGAAGACCTTCTCCCTGCATATGTAAAAGTCACTGTAGACCTGTGCCCTTCCTCTGTTGATTTCACAGAGCAATATGAAATTATCTTCCAGATTGAATTCTTTGCTTCCTTAGTGTCCAACTCTCTGGTGGAATGCTTGCCCCAAAAGATCAGGGGTCTCGTCTATCATATTCACCACTAGGTCCCCAAAACTAATTATTATTCCAATAACCACTCACACTCATAAAGCAGTTAAGTCATGGCAAGAACGCTGCTAACACAGACATGTCTATGTTAACTTATTCAGGCCACGCAAAAACCTAGATTTTAGCATTTCTATTTTTTTTAAGAAGAAGAAACTTGAGTCCCAGAGAAGGTGGGTGACTTTTCTAAAGTTGCACAGCTATAGGTGCTAGGGCTGGGATCTGAAGCCAGGTTCTCTAGCTTTAAAATCAACACTCTTAATCACTGCACTAGCCAGTGTGTACCCAACTAATATGTATTGAATACATGAGTCAGTCAGTACATGAGTGAGTGAAGGAATGAGGATTTGAGTCCAGAACATCTGCCCAGAGCAGGAAGCAAGAAACATATTGAGGTTTCCCAACTTTAGTGAAGGTGAGTCCTAAATGACGGCCTTCAGGAATCACCCAGGTGTCATCCAGCTGCAGAGATAATCCCCATGCTGATTACCTGTGTGGTGCTGAAAAGGATCTCCATGCCCTGAGCTGCCCGGAAGGCCTCCCTGCCAGACCGGAGGTTGGCAATATGCCTGAGGCAAAGCAGAAGCGCCCTGCGGATCAGCACGTAGGAATTGGTCGTGTCATGGCTGTGCCAGTCCTGATGCAGCCAGAGCAAGATGGCAACATAGCCTCTGTTCACTGCCCTGCGGCTGTTAGACTCTGAAACCAATGGGAAAAGACAATGTCAATCACAGGCTGGCCATACCGGCCTGAGGATGTCCCAGTGTACCTCCCACAAGATACTAATCCATCATAAAGGGAATGATAATAACTTTCCAGTGGAGAAAACTGGCAGATATCACCTTAATCAAGTGACCAAAGTCAACATCAGCAGATAAGATGCCCGGAGAAAGACACACCATCACTTTAACATCACTTAAGCACCACTTTAGCATCGCTTCAGCATCGCTTCAGCATCGTTTCTATGATTTTCCTGCCCCAAAATGCATAACCTAAATGTTACTACGAGGAAAATCAGCAAACCCAAAATGAGGGACATGCTGCAAAATATCCAATCTATACTTTTCAAAAATGTCAAGGTCATGAAAAGCAAAAAAAAAAAAAAAAAAAAAAAAAAAAAAAA